GGGAGCAAATGCCAATACAGTGAGTGGGGACCCAGTAGATACAGCTGGTGGAGAAGAGAAAGAGCGAGCCTGAGCTCTCCCTGTTGCACGTGGCTCCAGTTGTTCAGATGAATAACTCTAAAGGCTGCCTTAAACATCATGATTTGGGACAGGTTCAGTTGCCCTAATCTGGGCATCAACTGCCATTTCAGTTGGCCAAAGAAAGTTCCCAGCAACATCTAAGAGGATTCCTTCCGATGTTGGCCTGTCTCTATGAACTGTTGCATTAGAGCTTGCAATTGCCTGCACATATCTTCAGCCACACCTGGCACCTGAAATGTCACCAGGTGTTGTGTCTGAACAGCCCAGTCCTGCCCTGCACCTCCATTGGTCACCATGGGAGCTGAGACCAGGAGCTCCCAGGCAGGTGCCTATTTTGTGCACACCTGGGCAACTGAGGCAAGAGGAATCCCACCTCCTGTGGGTTCATGTTGTGCACGGGAGGGAGCTGAGTCCCCTTCTTGCCCCACAACTAAAAACCTACAAATGAGATGCCTTGATTAACTCATCTGCATCCAGTCCCTCAGCAGGGGTAAAGGAGATCTCTCTTGTAACTCTCTGGTTCTTTTATCTAATGAAGGGACAAGGAAAGGTGATTCTCAAGCCCAAATCTTCTCCTCACAGGAGAAATTACAGTGCTGGGAAGAAGGGTCTCTCCCCAGCAGAGGGAGGGAACATCAGGGATGACTTCAGCCTGTGTCACAGCAGGTTCCCCTGCAGCCCCAGGGACACCTGGAGGGAGCCCAGAGGGGGCAGAACAAGTTCTGCCTTGGGCTGGTTCTCTGCGGCTGAGCTGGGCTGGGCTCCTGGGATGGAGGGGCGGCACTGCTGAGAGACAGCTCTGCCCAGGAGCAGCTCCCCTGCAAAGCGCAGCAGGGCTGAAAGCACTGCCTGCAGGCAGCGAGGGGAGAGGAGCGAGGCAGAGAGAGGTTAAAGGCAGCCTGGAGTGGGAGGATGCTGAGAGCTCACTGGGGGAAGAGATCTTCACAGACCTTTAGGTGGCAAGTCTCTGGCTGCAGGGCAATACAACTGGATTTTATTGAGGGCTCTCCAGAAGGTGGCACATCCTGCAGATCACAGGATCTGTAAGTACAACTTCAGAGCTACTCTAATGTGCTGGAGGTGGACATGCTGCAGAGCAGGGACTCCCTGCTGCACCATCATAGGGACAGGGCATGACGGCTGCCTTCTCCCAGGGAGGGCTGCAGGCTGTGAAGGTGGGTGTGCAGGCAGGGGTGCCCAGGGCTGTCCTTCCCAGTAGGTTCCCTGCACCCCAGGGGGCTGTTCGCTGGGGCAGGGACTCTGCCTCCTGCCAGGGTCAGCACTCAGCCTGCCCAGGCAGCTCCCCATGGTTCTGCAGGGAGAAGCTGTGGGTGGAAGGAGTGACCCTCAGCAAGGCAGGGTCCTTCTGCTGTTGAGAGGGTACTGTATGGGTGAGGGTTGCTCAGAGCTCCACATCACCCCCAGATTATATTTCCATGGGGATATCTGGATGACAAGATCAAGGGAGGGATTACTATAAAGAGAAGGAGCTTTCATGAATCTGCCTTTCTGTTTCCTTTTTCAAAGAGTAGGGAGGAGGAGGTAAAAGCATAAATAGGAAACAAAATTTTAGCAACTCACTGAGAGTCTTGAACTGCAGCTGTGAGTGATTAATGTGACTTAAGAGAGCC